TATATATATATATATATATATATATATATATATATATATATATATATAACACAGTATAAATCATTGTCTTAATGGCATAATCTTTTGCAAGACACGAATGGGATTGATTAAACCCTAACAATTTATGTTCGGCCATCATTCATGTACTTGACTTATTAAAGCTTGACGATCAGAAGATTTATGTCTAATGGAGAACTCACGAAAGCTGAAAAGAAGGGAAAAGGCCACAACACCACCTTGTTCAGATTGCATTGTTGCTAGTTCACAACAAAGGAGAATAGACTTTGTATGTTGTGAGTGATCTCCCAATGATGGCTTCCATGGAAGGCTACTTTAATTGAGAGCATATCAGATGGATGAGGAAATCCAACTTTTAAGTATCTTATAATGATCTCTACCTCATCTTTTTGGTGCAACAACACATCCTAGTAGTTTAAGACACCATGTACATCTTCAAGTTGAAGGGGCAGGGCAATTAAGGTAGAGTGGTGGTACATAAGCTTTACCACTGGTGCTTTGAGATCAGTAAAACAATCATAAAATTAGGATATTTCATTTCATTTTTTTCCCTTTTTTTTTCCTCAGTTTTAAACAGTTTGCATCCCCAACAAAGCAAAAATAAAAATAAAAATAAAGACACACTGAAACTAGAGAGAAAATTACATTAAATTTCTTTTTTCACCAATATTTCTCTATTTGTTTCCGATTATTCCCCTTTTTTTATTTTAAGTTAGGGGACGAGTCCACGAGAAATGGCGCGATTAGTAGCGGCATGCGTAGTCTCGTACATTGGAAGCTCATCCCTATATCCCTCTCCCCCTGTCATCACCGTCAGATTCTCCAGCTCGAACAGATCCGAGCTCGAGTCGCTGATCTCTCCGTCTTCTTCTTCCCCGTCTTCGAACCTTCTCAGGAGTTCTTCCACCCTCATCCTCGTCTTTGTCTTCCCCTTCCCTTCCACCTCCGTCGCCACCGTTCGCCGCCTCCCCTCCGCCGCCCGATCGCCAGCGTACACGTTCTTCTGCCCGCACGGCCGCAGGTCCTCGCCCACGATCACGCTCATCGGGTGGAACCGCACCGACCTCTTCGCTCCCTCGTCCTCCGCCGGTGGTGCCCGCCTCGACGACGGCGCCTTGACGAGGCACGATCGGGAGTGAGATGACAGAGTGGAGCAGGCCGAGTCGTCGTAGCCGCCGACGGCGCCCGCGGCGGTGGCGGTCGGGGTTTTGGACTTCTTCGGTCTTTTGGCTGCGGAGGCGAAAAGAGAGTTCAGGAGGGCGGCGAGGCGGCCCCCTGGTGACGCTGGCGCCTTGGATCGCCCCAGATCCCAGAGCTTGCTCCGGATCGAGCTCGACTTCGTCCTCTCGCGGTGGTGTACGACCGGCGGCGAGGAGATCCGTTGATGCTGCTGCAGCGGTGGCGGCGGGGGAGGACGAGTAGGAGGGCTGGAGACGGCGGTGCAGCGAGCCGGCGCCTCCCCGCTACGGATAGGCCTGAGTCGGGCTCGGTGGCTCGACGCCGACTCAGGCTCGGAGGAGGAGGAGAAGCCCCCGTAGCTGGAATTATCTGAGGAGCTCGACGTAGAGATGGGCGGGAGGCCACGGGGTCGGCTCCCCGCCCTCTCGCTGACCACCATGGCGGGCCTCCTCGAGGCGGCGAGGGAAGGCTCGGGCGCTCCTCCGGCGTCGGACTCGTCCATGGAACGGTAGATTGCGTCGAGCAGCGTGGAGGAGAAGGATGGGCACTCGTGACCACGCCGCTGCCGCTCCTTCCCCCATCTCTCCATTTCAAGAGCCACAAGTCAAGTAAATCCAATCGCGCCCTTCTCCCCCAGAGAAACTGATAGCTTCTGCTATTGCAGGAAGGAGAAAGAAGAAGATAGAAAGGGAACGGACGAGAGGGAGACGAGAAGTGGAGGTGGTGGTGGTGGGAGGTGACAAGCTTCTCCTCCTTTATGGTGAGGGGAGAGCGACTCACGCGCGTGCGATCGCTGACGGGCTGTTGTCTTGGTTTTTCCGCTCTTCAGGTGTGGGACCCAAAACAATCCCTTCCGTCCGATGTGTGGCTGGCTGATCGAGGGGACTTCCCGCCGTGCCGCGGTCCTCAGATCCTCACCCGTTATCATCCATCCGGTAATCAATAAGAACACCCACAGTGCCACACTATGCAGTCACGGACCCGTTGCTTGGAGTCATGAATCAAGTCACGAATGAAGGACCGACGCGATGATGTTAATCGCATCAGAAGCCAGGCAAGCGATTCTCTTGCTGTTGTTGGGTTTGCCTAGGTCGGAACCTTACTCGTGGCTCAACAATCGTCGATGTGAATTGTGTTTCTTCGGCGACATTTCTGCCGTGGCCTGCAGCGGAGCGGTCTCAGCGTCACAAAAGAGTCAAAAGCGTGAGGTTTAGCTCCATAATTAGGCGTTCAAAAGTGTTAAAGAATGTAGGGGAAGGACTCGTGATACCATGGAGTTCCCAAACTTTTATCGTTGCCTTCGGTGGCCCTACTTGCCGTTTTGGTACGAGTCCCATTAAACTAGCAGAACAATACCACACGTTGCTGAGATCGCTTTCCACTCGAGTCATGTCTTTGCAAGCGATGGGGATTATTATTATTGTTATTATTATTATTGCATGGGATGTGGGGTCGCGGAGAGTGCTTTGGAAGTAATCTGTTGTTGTTGTCGTCTGGGAGCAACATAGGGGTTTGGATAAAAGAGGAGAGAAGGGGCGCACGGGGGATGCCAATCCAATCTTCTCCATCATTATTGCTGGGGTAGAAATTTTCTATGGATGCCAAGCTGTCCCCTCTCAAGATAAGGAATCAATCTTCATTCCCTTCCATACTTTCCAACAGACGTATGCGTTCATTTTATTCACAATTCCAAACCAAGAAAATACCCTTCTCTCCCACCTTCTGGTATCATCTAATTTCCATCAAAAGAAAGCAAAATTAATCTTATATACTATATGACCTTTTGAGTTGTTCTTAACTTCTTTTAATCAATGCTATTGATTTATATTGATTGACGTGACTCGTGGCATAATATATCATAGAGCATAGAGTTTTTTGTTTTGAGAGGGAGGTTGAGATAGACGAAAACAAAAAAAGAAAACAAAAAAAAAAATGAAAATCTACTGTCGTTTACAGGAAGGAATCTTGTATTCTGATGAAATCTTAAAGGGTGAAATATCCAGAGGCATAGATATGGAACCTATTGTGGTTTTGATTAGTCAGGTGATTAGATCAACAACAAATTGGTTGACTTGATACTGATAGGTTAAACCCTGTTTTCTGGGTTACGTTCCCTATAGACCTACCTGTAAACTAGCCACCTCCACTCTCCCCCTTACGGCCCTCCAACACATAAAAAAAGAGAAAATTTTCACATCCAGAGTTGAATTATAGTCTGCATACTTTTCTGCCCTTGCCCTTGATGAGCCTGCCATTGTTTCATATAATAATAAAGACACTGCCATTGTTTGTGTTGCATGACTAGCTTCACACCGGCTCCAGTAATCATGCAAAAAGATATGCACGCACAGGCCTTGAGATGAATCACACAAGATTTTACTACGCGCAGCACTAATCATGTGTCCTTTTAAGTGCCTGTTGTAGGCTTTTTGGACAGTAGGGTGCTCTCAGGGATTATAAAATCCAAGCAGAAGCCTTGCGACAATGCTGCTGTCTTCATCTGATTTTTAGTATATTAAAATACAATTGAATGTGGATGGATATATGTGTAATGGTGTTCATCTTTTGGCTCTTTAATTCTGCCTCAACTATTTCAATGGTTTTGTTAATTTTACACAGAGGTCTGGTTTCCAAGTTTTTGGTAGTAAAGTTATCAGGGAAGCATTTTTTATGTTTTTTTTTATTTTTTTTTCGATTTTACTCAGATTTTGATTTCCAAGCCTGATAAATGTGTTAGTGAAGTAATTAATGAAGGCGTGATTTCCATTTCTGAGTTTGATTTCTATGTCTGCGAGTCTGGTTTCCAAGTCTGATGATTGTGAGGTAAATATTTTGAGTCAAATTTATCCAGAGTTTAATTCTTAATCTTTCATAAATTTGTTAAAAGATGATTTTATTACTGGAAGAAAATTCTAAGCTGATACATTAAATGCTCGCATATAGCATATTTAGCACACAAAATGTGATTCATCTGCCCACCTAGTCATCTCTAGAATTAGAGTGCAATTTAAGTCCAATAATTAATGGAAAGATGTTGACAGCAAGAGTATTGGGAGATATTTGAAGTGACTACGGGACATAGGATGACTCACTTGGATTTATCTCCAACTGCAGTGCAAGATCTTTCTTTGTTGGATGGAGAACATTAATCCAATGTGTTGCCTCGCCTCGGATCACAAGTAGAAAGTGAACCTCATTACCATATGACTTGACCAAGTAATAAATAGGACCGGTTTTATGTTCCGCAGATTTTGTTCTTCGAAACACACACTATCATGTCTGGTCTTCAATTTTGACTGCATTGGAGTGAGTGAGCTACCGGTTTTGCCTTACCACATCTGTGCTTTCTTTATGTTGGACAGCCTTGCAGTATTTTAAAAAAGAAATCAATTTTTCAAGGGAGAAAAGTTAAAAATAAAACAGATAATATTTCTTCTTCTCGATAGATTAAATTGTGATGAGAAAGCTTCACTAGTTTCATTAATATAAATCCTGAAAGATTTCCTCTATCAAGATTAAGTAGTTAAAGAGAGATTTCCTTAAGTAATTGTGAAAATTTTATCTTCTATCACGTATTGAGCTCCTATCAAAGACATCGATCTTGGACTGATACAATGAAAATATTTTACGGGTGAGCGGTTTTTAGAGAGTATGTTAGTTAATCAGTCATATGTATGTGAGAAACATATAATTGATGTATGATAACTTAATCCTGAATGAAGTGAAAGTCGATGACAATATGTTTCATACGTGAGTGAAACACTAGGTTGACACATAGATAGGTGACTCCGACATTATCACAATTAAGTTTTACAATAACGATGGCAAGTTTCTTTAGTAAATTCATGACCCAATTGAGTTCTACAATAACGGTGGCGATAGCTTGGTATTCAATTTTAGTTGTAGACCTTACGATTGTCTTCTGCTTTTTTGAACTTCAACTGATTGAATTTGTTTCAAAAAATATAATATATCCCGATGTAGATATTCTATCATTAATATTTCCTACCCATTTAGCATTGACAAAGGCATGGAGATAATGTGATGAGTGTTTATAAATAAAGAGTCTATGATTAAGGATTCCTTTGAGATATCACAAGACTCATTTTACTGTAGACCAATGCATAGTGGATGGTCGATGCATGAATTAGGATAATTTATTGACTGCAAATGAGATGTTTGGACACGTGAGAGACAAGTATTATAAGGAGCCATGTACTTGTCGGTATTGTGTAGGATCCATAGTAGCACTGCCATTATATAATTTGAGTAATTCAGTAGTAGAGAGTGGAGTGGCAACCTCTTTGGCGTTCCGCATATTTGTCTTTGATAATAGATCTTAAATGTACTTTCTTTGAGATAGAAAGAGTCATAAAGATGTGTACATTGCTTCTACTCCCAAAAAGTAGCTCAAAGTTCCTAGATCTTTGATGGAGAATCAATCTATCAATTTCTTGAGGAATCCCTTGATCTCTATTGGATTGTTGCCTATGACGATAATGTCATCCATATAAGATATATTGTACCACCATTTTGTTATCATAGAAATAATGAAGTGTCAAACTTATAGTTGATAGAGCTAGTTAATATAAAAAACGAGCCGAGTTTGATGTACCAAGATCTTGAACCTTAACAAAGTTCATAAATAGTTTTTTGTAGTTTACAAACATGCCTTGGATATCGAGGATAGATGAAACCAGGATGTTGTTGCATAAAGACATCTTCAGTTAGAGTCCTTTGTAAGAAAGTATTATTAACATCCAATTATCATAAATGCTAATCTTTTGATGGCCAAACTCAGGATAAATCAGATTGTTATTGATTTAACAACGGGACTGAATGTCTCTGTGAAGTCAACACTAGGTCATTGATTAAACTCTTTGGTCACCAGACATGCTTTATATCTAGCAATAGATCTATCTGGGTTTTGCTTAATTTGAAAGACCCACTTACACTTGATGATATTTTGTATATAATGAAAGAGTACAAGAGTCGATGTAGAATTATGGAGTAAGATATCATATTCTTCACACATAGCTTTAGAGAAATGAGATGGATCTCCGGTCATGTGCCTTGAGCATCTACTATTAAGATACCATCTCTTGCTCCTAGCTTATGAGTTTGTCTACAAAAGAGGATAGTTTTTAGGTACCCATTTGATTTTGGGTGCCTCAAAAATTAATCTACTAATTTTGTCATTCATCATTGAATTATTTATAGTTCCATTAGGAACCCATATCAACTTATATAAACTAATTTTCTTAAATGGACATTTGTAAACAATATATCCAGATTTACAACAAAAATTGCATTTCAAATGAGGTGAAACATGTAATATAAGTCTTTTAATGAAGGTGGTAGGATTTTGGTGAGATCCTCTCACAAAACTAATTTCACTTCTATTTGTGACGTAACCCTTGTTTGCAAAAATCATGTCCAAGCCTTTGCTACTGACCTTAAACTTGTTTAAGGTCTCTTTAAGTAGTAAATTCTCATCTTTTATTGCTTCTAAGTGTTCACACTTAGTGCATGGAGGAGTTTGAAGATTATCAAGCTTATTTTGTAGTAAGGCATGCTCTTTCTTTAATAGATTGAACTTCTTACTAATAGTTCTACACTCATCAAATAATTCGTGAAAAGCAATAGAAAGTTCATCGAAAGATAAATCTTCATTAATTAAATCATATACCTCTCCTCCTAAAGCCATTAGCGAGAAGT